GCTACAGGGAGCAATCTCGGGGCTGTGAAGACGAAACAAAAGCCCAGGTGGTCGAAGAGCGGACTTGGAGGACCCTAGCGCACACCTTTCTTGCCCCTCCCTCTGTAAAGCTCCCCAAACCGCAGGTTCTAGCTCTGGGGGCGTAGGCACTGGGAGGTCACTGGCCTCTTTCCGAAGGTGATCTCTCCGGGCGCTACTCCCTCAGTAAGAGCGTACACACCCCCACCCTGAGCCCCCAGGCGCAGGCCGTCCCATCCCAGAGTCTGCAGAGCTGCTCTGTGGAGGAGGTGAAAGAATCCGGAAAAGGGACCCACGGAAAAGGGAGTAGGGGGGGGGGGGGGGAGAAAGAAGAAGTGAAAAGGAAGTGTTGGCCGCAGGGGTGGGGTGTTGGTCCAGTGACTTTCTCAGTGGCTGGGGGGGGGGGGGGGTGTCGGCCTGAGACCTCCCGGGAGTCCCTGCCGCAGAAAACACGCAGTGAGGAAAAGGATTCGCGTCTCCACACATTCTCAGGGAGTAGAACAGTGAAAATTTGTCTTGGGTGGTCAATTTCCTCATTTGCCCCTATTAAAACAAAAAGCCCAAGAAATTCAATTAAAGCCACCCTGGCCAAGGCGCTATTTGAGGCTTGAATGTCTCCCCTAAAGCTGCAGCAATCATGTGGCATTAGACACTTCCGGAATCCTATAGCCAACCTGAAAAATCCCAGACCCCCTTTTCCCCTAATTTTTGCTCTGATCTGTAATTTTATCCACATTTGCACTAGTTTGAGCATTCTGGCTCTCCCATCTGAAAGCCTGCAATTACTATATAATTCTTCGCAATTTCAGATGTCCTAATATGGACTGTAATTTTTGCGCAAGACAATTTCCTGCTATTTCAAGCATCAACATTGTCAAAGTTGTATGTACATAATAAATGGGAATATCAATGCATAGTTTTTAGCATAACATCTTGACTCCTCGATAATTATATCCGTTCGGAGCCTACGCAGAATTAGCCTGAATTGCATGGTAACTGCCGCTGCTTTAAAATTTTTAAAAATTACTCATAATTTTCCCAAAGATTACCAAGATCTCGAGTGCACAATGTCATCAGCGTAATGAAGAGTAAACATTTATGCTAATAATCTGCAATTTTTTTCATCAGCTATAAAGACAGAGGCTATATAGCCGAAATTTTCAGTTCTATTCTGCAAGCTCAGAGATGCAAAAAGCCTGCGGCGCTCGGAGGAGCCTGGTCCTGGGGACCTCTTTCCTCCACTCGCACTCTCAGGATAGGAAGATGGGACTGGGGAATTCTTTTTGGTTTTCTGGATTTGTTTTACTCTGGTTTTTGCATTTTCCTATTTTTCCTGTTTTTTTTTCCCTTGGTTTTTTTTTTTTGTCTTTTCTTTCCTGTCATTCTCCCAGCCAAAAGCTGCCTTCGACCCTTTTGATTTGATGTAGCAAAGAGTGTGTGTCCAGATTATCTGAAATTGACACTGAAGAAGGTAAGGGTGGAAACCGGCTTCAGAGGGATGGAAGGCTGCGCGGTGCAGCCGCGGGGCTCCCGCTCCGGGAGTAGGAGGGTGGGGGGAGTGATTATGTATGCACCAGCTAATTCTTCCATCAAAACTTCTTGTCAGCGATGTCAGGAGTATTTTTCCCCCCTTTTTATAAAAACACTTGATGTTTCAGGAAACGTTAATCCCTGAAGATGGGGTGGGGGTGAGGGAGGGGGTAGGGAAACGATGGGTGGGGGCGCTAATGTTTCTTGAGCCTAGAGAAGCACCCTCTGGAGCCTTTTGCTTTTCCACTTTGGAATTGGGGTTTGCTGTGAAGGTGGGGGCAGGAAGAAGGTTTCTGTGGGCATGAGAGAAAGAGAGCGTCGCTGTACCGCATTAGATGGGGGCTCCGATGGCCTTGGGAGCTAGGTACCAGAAAAGTTTGCTTTTGTCTTTGATTTTAAGGGTCTTTAACCCAGGTGAGAGGATGGCAAAGCACAGATAGCTCTGCGAACGGACTGTCAGAAGATGTAGGGAGAAAGAAGTGAATACTAGGTTGCAGATTTATGGGGGTGGGGTCACTGAGTGCTACTTTCTGACCAATTTTTCTTGATCTAATAATATCCAGTACTCAGACCTTTCTCCTTTCTCGGAGAAAGGAGATGACAGTTCCTTCAAGGGGAGAGATTCAGTTAATTTCTTCATCAAATGACTCTCTACAAACAAATTCACACTTTGGGGCATAGAAGTGGAAGGGATTCTAAGAACTTTTTTTTCCTTTTTCTGGTGCTTATATGTAGTATAGAATCAGAACCATCTACCCTGCGCCAGGTGCAGATCCCTGGGGAAAAAAAGAAATAGAAACACAGCCTAGTGATCAGTGAGAGCAAGCTATGGACTATAAATGCTTCCAGTTTGGGCTTTTTTTAAAAAATATTGCCTAAATGGAGGCTCTGGGTTCTGCCACCAATAGACTCACCACTCACTGGGCCGCTCAGACCCCTCCAAACTATTGAACCGAGGCCAGTGAGAGGGTTGGGACTGTGCTTCTGCCCCACCCCCACTCCTATCCCCTTTTAGAGCTAGTGTGTGTGAGAGACGATATTAAAGAGGTATCTGTTGTTTAGCAATTTTGCTAAGTCTGTCTTCATTACTTCGCCGCTGTGCATTTGCTAATTTGGAGGCCTGGCCATTGACAAGCTTGCTCCATACACCTGCAAGCAATTTGCCGGCTCCGGTACCGGAGAATTGCAGAGATGGCAGCTCGCACCTATTTGATTTTTTTTTCCCTTTTCTCAATGCACAGCAAATTTGGCTTTCAGTGCGTTATCTCTTTTGTTAATGCAAAAAGATTCCCTGGGCGAAAAAATTGCTCATAATTACCAGAGAGATGGGGAAACTGCATTAGAATAAATAAACCTGAAATTACTGTAATTATGTTGTGTTTGATGGGCCCGGCTTGTAATCAAGAAGAGAATACAGTGAAATGATGCTGACCCTCTTGGGTTTGCAGCTGTACGCGCACTTTGGGGTCTTTTTTTGCAGAAAAGAGTCATTTTGATAATCATTAAGCTGTGTGTAACCTATTTCAGAAGTGTTTTAAAATGAGGTTCACATTTTTTGAACAAGGGAAAAAAAATCCCAAAATTGCATTTTGCCATTACAGACTCATGCATAAGGAAAGGTTGTGTTTTCTATGTGACAATTGTTAAGACATAATATTCGAAATCAGTATTTAATCATTATAATGAGGTATTGTTTAAATATAACCACCTTTAGATTATTCATATTTTAATTAATATACTCATTATGAAAATCTTTGAATCAGATATTTGATGAACTACTTGTCAGTAACAAGGCAGCATTAATTAGGCCTATATTGAGATTAACATTTTTAAAAAGTACAACCGCTTATAATTATAATAGAGCCCTAACTAAACACCGCCTTCCTTGAGCTAAAACTAATAATTTCTCTATTTGAACTGTTAGCAAGAGATTATTAAATTAGTATAAGCTAATATCTCAAAGTATTAAAATCGGCTTGACCAAACAGATTTTGTTTGTGGCTTGAGCGTTTGGGGACTAGCTGTCCTCAGGTGGACTGAGGACTGGGAAGAATCTCACACCTAGAGAAGTCACCTTTCCCAGGGAAACTGAATCCAGGCCTAGCTGGCTCAAGCCTCAGCACGCACTCCTAGCCTAGCCTGGAGAAGTACTTTCCCTTAGTTTCAATCTGGTTCTATCCAGTACCATCTTGATCTGATCCCATTCCTGAGCGCCACTTGGTTCGACGCCGCAGGAGGTGGAAAAATCCCATTTTCAGTTTCAGAGTGGGCATCGAAGTCCCCAGCTTCACCCAGCCCAACCTCCTGGTCCTCTCCCATTAGACGCCCCCCCTCCAGCCCCGCCACTTCCTCCTCCCCTTCCCAAAGGGCGTCGGAAGAGCTCTGCGCATCTGATCTTTCACCAGCACCAATTGAAAAATGGGTGCTTGTCACAACACAGATCATTGCCTTCCAGGCTCTGCTCCCCACCGCGCGCCGGAAAGGGCCCCCCAAAGGCGGAGGGCCAGCCCCCTCGGGTAGCAGGCGGGTACTAGGGAAGCAGGAATCGCGCAGAACCAGCCGTCGGAGTCTACTGGGGCTGGGGCTGGGCTGGGGCTCAGGCCGTCAGACAAGCAAGGGATTCTACCCTCTTGGAGTCACTGCTCTTTTGAAGCGAACTTAACCCCAGCGCTCCACCATAGGGAGCTGTTCTCAGAACCGACTCGGCTGAGGTGGGAAGGATGTGAGCGACTATGATCAGCTCTTGGTCTCAAAAATCACCTAAACCCACTGTGCTCTAGCATTTCCAGTTCCTGAGTATGTAGAGAGAAGTCCCCGGGCATTAAACAAGAATGGGTCTTTTTATGCCCTGGAAGGTTTTGGGTGACTCCCTGAGACTATGTCCTGTCCCCAAGGACCTCAGTGATTGATTGGGGCGGTGGCTTGGAAGACGTATGCTTCCTGCCCCTGCCAAGACACTATCCTGTGCCTGCGGTCAAGCGAAATCTGGCAGGTCAGATCCGGGCGGGGGCTCGGGCAAAGCAGGGCGCCTCCGTTTCCAGGGTTCTTGAGAAGTGACAGGGCACCAGGAGAGGACTCCTGTCTCCTAAGTCCGCTGCACTTGGGTTCTGTTTTTTCTCTCTTGGCAGTCTTTTCGTTCCTGAGCCCACCTCTGGGGCTCTGTCCTAAAACACCTGCTCCTGAGCCGAATTCACCAACCCTCTCTAGGCGTTTCTTGCCATTTCTTCTACCTAGGCAAGGATCCCAGGAAGACTGAGAGGGGAGAAGGAAAGGGGACTAGGCTTTTGAGCCCCTCTCCCAGACCTTAGGATGATATCTTGATGACATAGTAAGGGTCCCCAATTTGTCCCTATTTAGTAGATATGCCTATGGCAATGTACTAAAGGCAAGAAGGTGGGGGACACCTTCTTTCCCTCCACACAGCACAGGACAAAATGGCTCTTTCATGAAATCATAATTTTACTGTCTCAAAGAAACTTTATAACTTATTTACAAAGTTTCCCTCCCCCCAAGATACAAAGCAATAAGTTAACATTCTCAATATAAAACTAAACTTTGACATAGAGAACACAAAACACGGTTGGGTTCAATTGGTCACATTTTCCAAATTTCACAAGTAAAATGTCAAGATTCTCATTTCACAAAGCATCGGGTTTACATCCACACACAACAGAACGGAAAGAGGCTAAGCTTGTGCAACATGTTTACAGAACAATAATAATAATTAATAATAATAACAACAATAATATGTACAGCAATTAGCTCCTGCACCAGAGACTGTGCATTCAGGGTGATGACTTGGGTTCTGTGGTCTAGCCACTGGGGGTTGGTTAAAGCTGCTCCTGTCTTACTTCAAAGAGACCAGGAATTGGGGGTGCTTTCGCAGGACTGGTTTCTCTCCAAGGACCATTGGTCCTCTCTTTTGCTGCCCAGAGTATGGTTTTCTTCTTGGCCGGGTGTTCTGGTCCGAGCGATCCTGACCAAATCCTGATGGCTTCACTTATCTTTCTGTTGTTGTTGATTTTAATAATTTGGGGCATGTAAAATGCAAATCATTCTGCTTCCACAACTCCATTCCAGCAAAGTATAAACGTTACTGCACACCCTAGAAACCACTATCCCCTCCTCGCCCTCCTTTCCGGTGTGTGTAAGGTAAATAGTGTTTGGACAGTGCCCACTCCATGCCCCAGAGAACCTGGAATTGGCCAACACTCAGTGTCAGATAAAGTCTGTTTTTCAATAAATTAACCCCCCTCCCTCTGATTTTCCCCATTTCCCAAACAAGCTACACAGGTGTTCAAGCAGGGCCCGGAAGAAGACCTTAAAGGAAAAAGCGGTCCAGGATTCGATGATGGGCTGCCGGCAGACCGGTGTGGCTCAGACCTGGTGACTTTTTGGAGAGGCCGCAGAATGAGGACAGCAGACACACGAGGACCTTGACTCAGCGCACAGACAGTGCAAAAAGGAGACAAAGACAGACAGAACCGAAAAAAGAGCATTTCCACCCTCCTACATATTTTTTTTTTTCCTGATAGTCTCACAAAGCTGAGAGTCTGGTCGGGTCCAGCGTGTTGTCTTGTTGTTTCTTTTCTAGTGGCCATGCCTGCTTTGAGGCCACTCCGCTGTCACCGTGTGGCCCAAACCAGGTTAGGGCCAAGAGTTGGAAACTCGCTGGGCCAGACCTTTAGGGGCCCCGAGAAGGCGGCAAACCCTCTGCCTTTACAGTTCCTTTTTCTTTCCTTTTTCCCCTTCCTCACCTCGGGGTCCTTCTCCTCCTGGCCCAGGGCACGCAAAAGGGTGGATGGACCTGGAGGCGGGAGGGGCCGGGCCAAGGGAGACGGGAAGGAGGCGGGTGAGTGCGAACTGATAATCTCACATGAGTTGAGGCTGCTGCATAGCTTCTTGGTGCGCTGAAGGATACCAAGACGTGTAGCTGGGGACATAGGAGCTGGCGCTGCTGCCGGAGCCCTTCCCAGAGGAGGAGTTCGGATTCCAGCCGGGTGGCACCGGTGGGGAGCCGGCAGACAAGGCCCTGCCATTCGCCAGCGCGCTGCCCTCCAGAGCTGCCCCGCCTTGCTTCATCAGCTTCTTGAACTTGGAGCGTTTGTTCTGGAACCATATCTTGACCTGCAAATTGGGCAACAACGTGACTGGACTGTGACCACTGAGCCTACCCAGGCCTGGGGACGAGGGAAGGGACTGGTTAAGAGAATAGCCGCCCTCCTTTCTCTGCAGAGGCTGGCAGCTCCAGGCTAGAGAGGCAGAGACCACCGCCAGCCCCCCGAAATCCCAGTCTCAATCCTGCCTCCGCCGTTGCTGTTAGCCCCCGCCGCAGCTGAGAGCCTTTAGAGCAGCTCTCAAATACCGGGGTGGGGATGGCCTAAGAGAGCAGTGGAGACCCAGGTCTTAGCTTGCAAGTCAGTGACAACGGGACTGCTGTTTATGGAAGACCCCTTGCATGCAAAACAATGCAATATCAATAAAGAAAAAATAAAGCCTAGATAGGAATGGAGGACATTTATGTACAATTAGACCACCTTCCTTTTGCGCAGAACTTCCTGCCTTTGGACAAGTTTAAGAACTGGTGGAGGAAGCCACAGCCAGTTGGTTCAACTTTTCATTAGACTCGGTCCAACTTTTTTTTCCCTTTTAAGTGTATATGCTTTCCCCAGCTCCAATCCAAATTTAGAGAGAGACTTTGGAAACCGAGTCAACTCCGGTTTGAATGCTTAAGAACTACCCACAGTCTTAGAATAAAGCAGGAAGAAAAAAAATCTCAAATACATCTCTCTCTCTCTCTCTCTCTCTCTCTCTCTCTCTCTCTCTCTCTCTCTGCAGGATCTGGGACTTGAGAAAGGGCAGGGGAAAGGATCCTCCTCTGCCGCCTCCTGAGAAGGAGGAGGTACAGGCAGATTTAGGCTTAGGCCCAGGATCCAAGTGATTAGCCACACACTTTAAAGGCAAAGGAGGATTAAATCCCCCTCCTATTGTTCCAGTTGTTCCGGCACGTGTGACCTCAGAATCTCCAAACAAAACGAGTGGAGAGATCCTTTCTACTCCCTGATCAGAAGTCCAGGGACCGAAGAGCAGGCGGCCTGCAGGTCAGAGTAGGGTCCGAGCTAGGCAGACAGCATGTGGGAGGAAGGGGAGCTGCTGAAAGTCAGAGGTGGACACACACACGCACAAGCACACACACACACACACACACACACACACACACACACACACACACGCACAGTGACACCTCGAACCAGAGGCCCAGGGAACAAGAAATTCGAAGCCTGCGGCTCAAGCCAGCGCGGGAAGCCTGTTTGGCGGAGAAGCAGCGGCCAGGTACCTGAGTCTGTGTGAGTCCCAAGGAGGCCGCGAGCTCCGCCCTCTCAGGGAGAGCTAGGTACTGAGTTTGTTGGAACCTCCGGTTCAAAGCCTGCAACTGCAAACTGGAATAAATTGTCCTGGGTTTACGGATCTTTTTCCCTTTGCCATTAAAGCGCACTTCACCGCCTTCCACCACGGTGCTCTTCTCGGAGTCCGCCCCTGGAGGGACAACAGAAGCAGATAGCCTTGTTAATTCTGAACTGCCTTTAATTTGGAGGGGCGAAAGTGTCTATGGACGGGTTGGTAGAGAGGCAGGGTCCGGAAAAGAACAGAAACCCTGAAAAGGGTTCCTCAAGGTCCGAGCGCAGGTTCCTGGCTGCTGCAGACAGAATTGGGCCGTTCCCAAGAGCGCAGCGATTGCCTTTGCAGGGAAAGTTTGCTATTTTTGCAGGCGGTAGTTGAGGTTTAATTACCCTTAATTGCATACATTGTTTATAGCGCTACGCAATAAATAATTACCGAGACTAATACGTGCACATGTGGGTTTCTGTTTTCCAGCAGGGCATTGTGTGCTCGGCGCGCCGAACGGCCCAGAGGCCCAGCCAGTGCCAGGAGACACGCTCGGATTTATCCTTTGCTGGACAGTTGTAAATTGAATTGACTTATAATTTTTTTTTCTTTTCAGTGACAAGGATCCATAGATTGATATCCGAAACCTCTACTACTTCCGCGCCTTCCCCACCCCCACCCACCTCTCTCTACCCCACTCTCCTCTCTTATCTTTTCTCTTTCCCCTCCCCTTCTCCCCCTCTCTCCTATTCTCCTTCCCTTCTCTCCTCTCCTTGTCCCTGGCAAGCGCACGTACCTGGGTCCTCCAGGCGGCTCTGGGCGAGGCTGGCGCTGCCGGGGTAGGACTGCACGGAACTGATGTAGGGGCTGGACGCGTGGCTGCTGACCGAGTTGACGTAGGGGTAGCCCAGCGGTCGGGAGAAGGACGAGGCCGAACTGTAGGCACTGTCGGGCTGCGAATGGCCCGCCGAGTGTAAACAGTGCATGGAGTAGTGCCCGTGGGACATGGGAGAAGGAGACATTTGCTGGTTGGGCGGCCCAAACTCCATAAACACCGCCTTGCCCGACACGGGGCTGTTGAGACTTTCTGGCATGGTGGTCATGGTCATCTCTTCTCGCGGGGTCTGGGTGTGGGTCTTTCTCTCCTCTGCTTCCCTTTTGGGGGTCTCTATGTTTCTCAGGACAGGAAGGAACCCAATTTAAGCGGAACAGGGGTTTTCACTTTCCATTCATAAGAAAATGGAGTTTGTCTCTTTGAAAAGTCTAAGCATGATGCTGCCGAGCTCCCCAAACTCGGTTCAAAGCTTTGACTCAACCAAGGTCATAAATATTCATGAGCTGGTGGAGCTGATTGGTCGGCTCTCTTGCATAATCACCGGGGATTGGTCCGAGAAGCTCGGGCTCGGCTGGACTAGAGCGGGCGACGCGGCCCGGCCTGGGGAGAGTCGGGTCCACACGTCCCGGCCGGGGCTCCTCTGCAACAGAGCGCGCGGAGCGTGAAGCACAATGGGCTGCGGCGTCCGCGCTGGGACCTTGGAGGCCCGCGACTCCAGCCTCCCGCCTCCCTCGCGCGCTTCCCGCCCCAGAAACCAACCAGCGGCTCCCTGCCGTCGCCCTCCCCCTTGCTGTCCCCACCCTTCTCCCGCCCCCAACTCCTGGGACCCCGGACCACTTCTTCTCGCGGTCACCCAGTCCGGTGCGGAGCGCTGCTCCCGTCTGGCCGCGGTCTCTCTGGATCGCGGGGTTGCGCACTGGGAGACAACCCAGGCAGCCAGCAGCCAGCGGTTCTCCAGAGCGTCCTGTGCCTAGCTCAGCGCTCTCCAGGCCGCGCCTCCTAGGCCGGGGTCCTCTCGGCCACATCCCGGGGATCGGGGTTTGGGGGCCCTCCGGCCCAACTCACTCACTCGGCCGCCGCCCCGCCGCTGCCACCGCTCCCAGGGGCTTGCTCGCATCTCTCCAGGCCTGGCTGGCCACTCCGGTTCCAGGCTGCACGGGTCTGATCAAAGAAAGCAGTGCGCGTGGAGAGCCAGGAATCCGCGCTTCTCCTCCCAGGAAAGGCGGCCGCACCGCCTCCCCCCCCCCCTTTCCCTCCCAACCTTCCTGCCTCCCCCTCCTCTCTCCACTCCCCCTGAGCCGTGCGCCCCGGGCTCACTCGCCCGGAGGGCGCGGCGCAGCGTGAAGTCCGGGGACCTGAGGGCGCCTGGCGACTGGAGCGTCGAATGCCCGCCAGGTGGTCATTTTCCAACCTCCTGGGGTCTGGCCAGACTACTTGGGGTTTGGGAGTCCCGGGGGGGGGGGGGGTAGGGGGAGACACCGAAACCCTCAGCAAATCCAGATCTGTGGTAGGCTCGAATATTTATGTATAGACATACCCCTCTTTGTCGCCCAGTCTCTCACCTCCAGTGGCCAAAGCTGGCGCCTCCAGGCCGGGGGTGCATCGAGGGGCGCTGGTGCAGGCAAAAGCTGCCAAGGCGCCGTCTACCTCCGTATTGAAAAGTGCACAAAAGACTCTCTCGCCCCCACCCACCACTACTACCACACAGCCACTCCGAGCGGCGCGGCGTGGCGCAAACTACGCTGGTTGCTAGGGACTGTTGGTTCCCAATCCCGCCAGCCCCACGATGAATCCCAAATTACTTTGTTAGGTAATTAGAAAGTGTTGATAATTATTTCTTTCATAATTTAGCGGTGTGACGGGGGACGGGGAAACGATCTTGTGAAAGTTCACACGTGCACACGTATTAGTTACTGATTCATTTGATTAAATGGTAGTCTCAAGTGCTCAGATCCGCAGCTGAAGGCGCCCCATTAGCATAACACTGATGTTTAATTTTCATACGCATAATTAGCCATATATTTAACACTAATAGCAACATGCAGCCTTTCAGCGTTAAACAGCCCGGGATTTGATCTGGCCTGAGCTGAACCTTCGCCGCGGCACCTTCCCCTATCTGGAGAGCGCAGTGATCACAGGACAGACCTCTGTAATCAAGCACATTTTGGCAGAGGGGAACACCAATAAAAATGAACATTCCAAACAAATTACATCGGTGATGTTACAGATATGAGTACAGGGGGTGTTCTCTCTCTCTCTCTCTCTCTCTCTCTCTCTCTCTCCTCCTTCCCTCCCTCCCTCTCTTACTCTATCTCTCTAACTTCTTTAGCAGCCGGCTCCTGCCTTCGGGAATTCCTCTTTGGTTTAAGGGCATGAAGCTGAGGGCAGAAATATTTCATGCAGCATGGTGGTTGAAGCAAGAGCAAAGAGGGAGAGGGAGAGAGAGCTAACCATCCAAATTCTGTAAACCAATAAAGGGTTTATCAACGCCTAAAAGACTTTTTTTTTTCCTTAATCACCGAACCCACGGTGAGGCTTTGTAGCAACAACCAACTAATGACTCCACCCCAACTCCGGAGCCACTAGGCGCGCCCTGATTTTCCTGTCGTATTCGTGATTTTAAATTGCTCCTTCTTAGCGCCTGTTTTGGGGTGTGAACTGCGGTCCTGAGCGCCTGATGTAGCCGCTTGGATGCCGTCTGAACCAGAGGTCTCTTCGCCTTGCGGGCCTTGCCCACGTAAGTGATCGCTGCGGTGTGTGGCGGGGTTGAGGTTGGGACTGGGGAAAACTGGACTAACGTCTCTTGGAATTTAGGGCAAGGATCCGACGGACTGCCTAGGGCCAGTTTATCCCAGAGACTTGCTGGGTTGGGGAACCGGCGAGCGACCGCAGTACTACTCCAAGAAGCTCTGTCTTTCCACTTAGCGGAGCAGGAGACCAGGATGGCTTCTGGGAACAAACGAAAGACTGGCTCGATAGGGTTTCAGAGACTGATATAATTTAGAACTGAATTGTGAGGACGCAGACTCCAGAGTTACTTCCTAATCCGAAGAAGAAGCAAGTCTAGGGAGGAGCTGAGCCAGGCCTCTGGAAGAGTGCACACGCCTCACCAAGCTTCACCAAGGGAGATCTTATCTCTACTTTGTGGGCCCAGAATGCATTCCTTCACCTGTCCTAACTCTAAGGCAACACCTGTTCTAAAAGGCCTAGACCTTTTCCTGCTCAAGTATGAGAGGAAGTTAGATCCTCACGTAGGTTCTGAAGGTTCCAGACGGGAAGCAGAACTCAATGGAATCACCTCGGGACCCAGTAGCCAGTTTACTCCTGGCTGGAATCCCTGTGGTTTAGGGTTAGGTGCCGGGTCAGTTCAGCTTGTGGAAGTGGACAAGATGCCGCTCTTTTTAAAAAAACCCAACTCCTAATCTCAACTTCAAAAGACTGTTTACACAAAATTCCTTTAACTCAAGTTTGTCTCCTACAGAGCTGCAGAGTTTAGCAGGGTAGGCTAGATTACCAAATCAGATTATATACGGTCCCCATAAATACCTCCACCTGCAATAATCGCCCCAGTGGTTGGTAAAATCCTGTGGTCCTAATAAAACTATCCTTAGGGGGACCGGGAGTAAACTGATCTGCAGATAAAGACACTACAAACTAATCTGATTGCTCTAGGGAAGGAGTGAAGTCATTCTCTGGCAAATAGCTCCTAAGGCCAGCTGGGCCCTGGTCCTCTCTGGGGAATGTGAATTGTCCATGGCCACAGCTCCAGCCTCTGCCTGGCTAATTCCAGAACACCTCCAAAGTTTGCCAGTTGATCTTACAAATCCTCATTCCTTCTTATTCTCAAACAGATTAGATTTAGAATCCCCTTCACAAATACCTGTAATCTCTAGATGTAGATAAACTGATCTGGAGGGTTGGGGACCATGGAGAGGCTCCCAAGTTTGGAGAGGAGCTGGGATTTTCCACTTTTCCAAGGGCTGGTCCTCAGTATCCCATCTCCTTGTCCACGGCTCTGGGTGTCTGAGAGACAAGCTAACTCCCTGTGGGTGCCTCTGATGCCATCTATCCTGGCAAACAGAAGGCATGTCCTTGGTTCTCTGACAGCCCAAGCTCTATTTAGACTGTGGCCACTCTGCCATCCACAGGAACACAAACTAGAGTTAGCAGGGCCACTGATGGTCTGGGCCTCTCTAGACAGTGCTCTTTCTAACATGCCCAGAGGGGACTGGTTTCCGTAAAAGCTCAGCCTGACCCACCCTGGAGCTAGGTGCGAACAGATCCCGGGACAACAAGGGAAAGCCGAGTGCTCTGGGCGGGAATGGACTTCTGCTCCGGAAGCCGGAAGCAGCAGGTAGGTGCTGCAGGCACACAGATTCATAGTTAACGCTGACAGCTCCAGAGCAGGCAGCTAGGGCCTTGTCTGAAACGTGTCTGGTGTCTCCTCTCTCAGGGAGGTCTCAGGAATACCTGATTTGTATAGCCCAGGGAGCAGGGAGGGTGCCTGTCCCAGCCTGGTAGCCAGAGGGAGGACAGTTTAAGGACTAGTTGGGCTCTAAACTCAAGACTTGTATGGGGTTGCAGCTCAAACTTTTAGCAAAACAAAGATCTAGGGTGGGGGTGGTCTCAGGCTGGGAGGGGATCAAGCATGGTTGCTGATGGAGAGGCTCGGGGGTCTGCAGTCTTCAGAAAGGCCACACTATGGTCCACAGCCAAGAAAACATTTGCAGCCAATGCTTCCTGGCTCATCTTCTCTAGGCCAAACCTTGGAGAAGAGGAAACTGGGCAGGGGTGGAAGCAGGTGCCGCCTCTGGAAGTGCCCCCAGGCTTAACTAATTTAAGACTCACAAGGGGAAAAGACAAATTTTCAGATAACAGGTTCTGTTTTTTTTTTTTCCTGTGTGCATGTTAAAAGTTTGGAGATTCCAAAACTAACCACCTACCCCACCCCTTTGTAACTGTCCCAAGTGGAGAGTGAACACAATGGAGTTAAGAGGTTTGTTGTTGTTGTTGTTGTTTTGTTTTTTAACTTGGTTAGAATCTGGAATGGATTTCAGTGAAACCAGAATTAGAATCAGGGACAGGCAAACCACTTGCCCAGGAAGGTGGTTCTCCAGAGGCCCTTGTAGGCCGTAGACCTGAGTCCCCAAAGTCCTGTCCACACTGTATTTTTCTCTGAGACACTGCAGACTCCTATGTGGCCTGTGGCTGGCTCCTCAGTTCTTAAAGGTGTCCTTAAGAAGACAGGCATGGGGCCTCGGTGGCCTTGCTGGAAGAGTCTTAGGCTTCTTGGGGCAGTTTGGTTAGGATCTCCACACCTCTTGCTGTGATGAGGACTGTATGCTCAAACTGCGCGGACCTGAAACACACGGGGGGGGGGGGGGCGGCAGTCAGGATACAGGATATGGTGTGCACTAGCAGTTCTGGGTGCTGCTGAGCAACCTCCCTAGCCCAGCAGTTCAAATGTAACAGGGCAAATACCTTAGGTTGTCTAGTGACACCACAGTCCACTCATCCTCCAGGACTTTAAATTCTGGGGACCCCTCAGTGATGATTGGCTCTGTAAGAGAGAAAACATTTAGCATAGTAGGTATTGTTTCCAGTCTGTGATGAGAGAGAGAGAGGGGATAAGGACGCTCTCCCTCTCCCTGATTGTTTCACCCACACCTCTTGTTGTCATCCCGCAAAGGCTGATAATTGGTGCGGCTTACATAGTATACTACAAACTGAACAGTAGGAAGAGGAACGCAACAGCATTTTTTTTTAAAAAAAAATGTATGAAGTTGCCTGGTTCATAGTTTTTTTAGAGAAAGAAGGGCATTTTAATCAAGCCTTAATTAGGACCCTGTGGATAATAACCACCCAAACACCAGTCCCTCTTATAAATACCAGTCAGATTTTTAAAATATTTGAATTTTAAAAACACGCTCAAAATGTTCATTAATCAGCAAATAACAATTTTCTTATTTCACCCTAATTGCTTCTCCATTAAGCCCTACAGTCAGAGCTAGGAGGCCTTGGTGGCCCTAGGTGATTGGAATTTGGTGGTGACACCAATCACGCCATCCTGGGCCACCACAGAGCACATGCCACTTGCTGACAGAGAGCGAGGGACTTAATCGTCTCTAGTTACTGGGTGTTAATGAAAAAACAAAACAAAAAAACAAACAGCACATTATGCTGGTAATGGAATTAGAGGTTGGGTGGCTGTAGCCTCCTAAATGTGTCGGTAAGTATCTGATTTAGGAAGCTGGGGCTAGAGGATATTATTTAATCACATTTACTATGCATCCAAATTATTTCATTATGCTGATTAGCTTCATTAGGCCTTTGCAGGACTTCAAGTCTAGGCAAAGGCCAGTTTTCCGTCCAGGGGCCCCAGCTCTCTGAAGAGGAGACCAGCATTTACCTATGGTGAAAGCCATGCCCTCCTTCATGGGCAGGTCATTGTCATTGGCTGCAAAACAAACACAGGGAGGTGTGAGAAAAGGAACCACGGAGAGAAAGAAACACAAGGGGGGAACTGGGCTCCATTGAAACACTTGGCCATTTTGCTTTTGGAAAGGGTAGAGGGTTCTAGATCCCTGGTTGAGCCCCCCCCCCAGGGGGGTTAAACACTGGGCTTGCAGGAGTGGGGGAGTCTCACTCTTTGTGGTATCTGTGTTCTCAGACTCCGCCCACTCTTCAGCAGTTGGCTGGTGGGGGCAGCTAGGATGTTCAGATACCAGTACAATACCTTCTCTTCTTCATGTCTGCCGTTCCCCATACCACCTGATGCTACGCCCCCTGGTCTCCCTAAGGCCAAAATAAGTCTTGGGAGAAAGATGCTAAAGGCCAACACCTGGCATGGAGGATGGAGCAGGAGAGGGCTCCATCCCCAAACATCTGTATGCATTGGCAATGGTGGGGCATGGGAAGACAGGATTTTTCCATGCTGACGGGGACCTCTTCTGAGCTGCCTCAGGTGGGGCTCTTTGGTTCAGAGGGGCACTGTTCTGCTGGGCCTCCATGGATCCTACAGTGGGTTCCAGTCATTTCTCCCAGGGACTTGTCCTGTCTCAAGTACACAGGGCATACTCATGACTAACTTTCTCTTAGCCCTTGTTCAAATGTGCACCCCCTCGGGACTCTCCTCCAGGCAGCTGCTTAATCCAAGTCCTCCCACCCCTCCTGACGGTTGCTGCCTTCTCTCTGTAGGGTGCACACCCAGATGGGGGAGAACTGGATTCTGAGGAAGGAACACCAGGGTGGGCATAATCCAGAAAACACGAAAGAGTACATGCTGCTAAATGCATCAGCTGTCAACGCTGTGTAGGATGTAAGGAAGTTTAACCACAACAGTCAGCGGTTAGGGAAGGGCGGGGGGGGGGGGGGGGGAAGAAAAACAGAAAACAGTCACGTGTGCATGCTGCCGGGATGCAGTGCAGTGGGGTTTTGTTTGCAGCAACTTTTTCTAGACAAACATCCCTCAGGCCTGCCAGCCATGCAGCCTTCAGGAGAGGACCAAAGTCAAAATGGACTTCATTTGGGAAATGTGCTGACCTGTGACCCTCCAGCACAGTAACTTCCTGGTTAAAATGAAGTAGATAACCTCACACTCCCAAGACGGTGGCGGGGGTGGGGGATGGTGGTGACAATGTGGACTCAAAGCAAAAAGAAGTTGGAGAAATACTGATGTCATTCAATAAATAGCTTCCAAAATAACTCTTACCATGATGCCAAATTTCTGGATGTCCGTGAAAGTACGATCCTATCCCATGTCCCACAAAATGCGGGCAGACTTGCAGCCCATGCTGATGAGTTATGCGACTTTAAAATAACCAAAAGACATCTGATTTAGTCAAATGTTTTAATTCATATTAAGATGAAAAATAAAATCACTTAAAATAGTCTCTGAGAAAGAAAAAAATCAGTTCTGTGGATGAGGGGGGGAGAGGGGAAGCAGGGGAGGAAAAGAGGAGGAGAGGAGGGAGGGGGAACTGCAGTCGGGGATGCAAAATACATGAAAAAATTTAATTGATAAAAAAAATCAGTTCTATTTCTAGTCTGATGATAGCATGAATGTCTCCTTTATTCTGGAATAATTTTAGTGTCAACAGGTCTTTTTGGACATAAGACAGAAGGTATACATATGAGACCCATTTGAGTTATCCACCTCAGTACATTTAATAAAGGCTATTTTTAGGAAAGAAGTAAACATGCATGCACACAAATGTAGACTGATCACACACACAAGGAAGGTACACACACACATAAGGAAGGTACACACACAAGGAAGGTACACACACACATAAGGAAGGTACACACACAAGGAAGGTACACACACATAAGGAAGGTACACACACACATAAGGAAGGTACACACACAAGGAAGGTACACACACACACAAGGAAGGTACACACACATAAGGAAGGTACACACACACACAAGGAAGGTACACACACACAAGGAAGGTACACACACACATAAGGAAGGTACACACACATAAGGAAGGTACACACACATAAGGAAGGTACACACACACATAAGGAAGGTACACACACACATAAGGAAGGTACACACACACATAAGGAAGGTACACACACAAGGAAGGTACACACACATAAGGAAGGTACACACACACATAAGGAAGGTACACACACAAGGAAGGTACACACACACACAAGGAAGGTACACACACATAAGGAAGGTACACACACACATAAGGAAGGTACACACACAAGGAAGGTACACACACATAAAGAAGGTACACACACATAAAGAAGGTACACACACATAAGGAAGGTACACACACATAAGGAAGGTACACACACAAGGAAGGTACACACACATAAGGAAGGTACACACACACACACATAAGGAAGGTACACACACATACACACACATAAGGAAGGTACACACACACACATACACATAAGGAAGGTACACACACATGTCTGTAACAAAGTCACAAAAAACATACCTGGTTTTGATGACTTTATGAAAAGTTACACTAATTCAGGCATTAAGCAAGGAAAAGTATAATCTCCGAGCATAACTTTCTACTCTTCTGATTTCCTGTACTCTCATCTAATTGAAGTGCTAGTCACTTTGTAAACAGGCACAAAAGACTGTCTGTTTTGCCCATTTTCTTTCAAAATTGGTGACCATTTTCGGGTTCCACATAAGACACACATCATTAGCAAAGTTCATAATTTTTTTTAATCACAATGATATTTAGGAGGAGTTAATATTGGCCCTAAGAGTAAATGCAGACATATTGGGCTCTATCTGTCCCTTACCAATGGAACCTAGCTTCATACAGAATCCAAACTTTACCTGCAAGGATGGAAGGGTCTGATATTCAGGTCAGGTGGGTGTGGTTATTTTGGGGAGTGCCAGACTGGTAAAAAAACAATGTACACCACCAACGATCATATTTTTCATGTGGGCAAAGGGTACAATGCCTCCAACCTTTCCCACTGCGATGGGCAGGTATTTAAGCAACCACAACTGCAGACCCTAACAAAGCCAAACATTTTAGCCTCAAACTCATTTCTCATCTTTCCTGCAGGGGGAGGGGTGAGGGGTTGGTTTTTGAGACAGGGTTTCTCTGTATAACAAAGTCCTGGCTGTCTGGAACTCAATCTGTAGACCAGGCCGGCCTCGAACTCACAGAGATCTGTCTGTCTGCTTCCGGAGCACTGGTATTATGGGCATTTGCTACCACTCCCAGCTTCAATCTCACTTCTCGCGATTCTAGTGTGGTTTCACATGCACTGTTTTGGCTAACGTCTTTATAAACCATCACGTCAACGCACACTTTTGGAAAGTGTTTCTTCCTTCTATTTTGAACAAGGTCTCGGTTTGTGTGCCAGGATGACTTTGAACTCACCACCCTCCTGCCTATGTATCCAAACGCTGGGACTAGAGGGATGGGCCACCACACCGGTTTAAACCAGCAGGGCAGAGATGGGCGAACAAGTGCTGAGGGGAGGGCTAAGCCAAAGGCCTCTTCTCCAGAGCTGCGCTTTGGAGTCCAGGCTGTACTGAAGGTCTTTGTGCTTCGGCAGGGAGGCATAACGTCTCTCCTAAGGGGTTTCTCCTACTTCCACACAACTTCTGACTAAAACTGAGGATGGGGCAGAAATAGAGGCTGGAAGAGAGGTGGCTATGACCTGCTATAGCCTAGGTTGTTAGTTTGTTTACCAAAAACAAGTTTTCCCAACAGCTGTATGTTAGGTCAGTTCAGTCCCAATAATTTGAAAAGTATTCAATAGTCTAGTATTTTCTTGAAAAATAATTTCTTTCCTTCAGTGATCCAAGTGACGGGCAGGTTCGCAGCTCCATCTTACATGTGTGGTACAATGGTAATCTTCATTTTAATTTCCAATGAGAGGAGAAGAAAGGCCACTCTGAAAGCCCCTCAGGGTCCCCCCTCATACCTCTCATTCCTCTTCATAAAAGAGGCTGCTGTACGACTAAGAAGTAGCTAAAGATATCTGAGTGCCTTCTCCTGCCACAGTTTGCTCTCTGGGTCTGGATGCAACTTCTGGCTATAGTATTCTAGAATCTGCCTCACGTATGCAAGGGATTAGAGGACTTCGCGGTTGGGGGAGGGGAAAGAACTGGACAAATTTCCCTCAGTTGCCTGGTGAACACGTCTGGCTCCCAGGAGCTAAAGATGTACTTCTGTTCAGAGTATTTCCCTTTCGAATGTGCAGTTTTCAATGTACACGTAAGTGTGATAAAATTCCATTAATGTTCTCCATTGCGGCTGGAAAACGCGCACTTTCAGCTATTTTGGAACGCACAGTGAGCAGACTCTCCTCCTGGCTGTGGGACTCAAAACTGATTTTGTAAAGACAATCCAAATGACTTAGCAAATCAGATTCCACTCCTTAACTGGGAAAGCAGACGCCGGTCACCCCTAAGCGGCCTGGGAAGGTGGGGTGTGCATCTACCTCTTTACAGCAGTGTTGGGGGGTGAGATCTGGAGGGGCAGGCGGACGCTGAGGAGTGAGGCTCTTGCTCTCCGACACCAGCCCACCGCAGAGCCATAGCTGTCTCCCAGCACCAGGGTTTTCTTGCCCTGAACATTTCCCAGATGAAACCTTTTTTTCTTGTTGAAATCTACTGAAAACAAGTCTCCTGGTGTTAGGTCTTCTGCTCTGACTTTCTCTAGCTAAAAATCCTTTAAGCCAGGACAACGCCTGTCTCAAGACCCTCACAGTCATAACTGGATTTCAGAGGGGATACTGGAGAGACTGCGTGAAGGCAGCTTCCAAACTACTGTCCGACCACACTGCATCGCGAGTGTCCACGGCTCAGCTAACAGTTCACAGGTGGAAGGGAACTTTCATGTAAGGGGCTTCTCGGGACCTCCGTCTTCAGTTTAATCCCTTCCCATGAAGCAGCTAGACTCTACTTACGTCTTGTCTAAACAAATTCAATTTCTTAAGCACATTTCAAAGTAATTTATGCGACTAAAACGGCATTCCCCAAGAGGGCAGAGGAGTACCATGTTTAAGTACATAAGGAAGTAAGCAGGCACATGGGAACGCTGGATTACCCCTTTCACACTGAGCTCCAAAGGGCCACCACGTCCCTGAATAGAGGAGGACCTCGAAAGGCCGCTGATTTGAGAAATTACAGAACTTTACTTTTTAATCTCTCTAGGTTCTCAGTCCCCACTGTATCCTCTGAATGGAGGAATGCGCAGAGCTGGGGATCCCCTTTAATGACAAGAATGTTTAAGTACAATTAGTCATATTTTTGAAAGCCAACAACTGTTTTCCAATAGAGTGGGACACTTTATTTTTTGTTTCAAGCTGGATCACAAATTACTGTATTTTTCTTACAATAGAGCTGAACTTTTATTTGAGGTTCTCTATTTCTGAAAAGCAGGCATGATGGATTGAAATAAAAGATAATTTATTGCAATGCTTACTTTCCTGTGTGGAGAGACGCAGTGTAATTGTAATTTACTGTAGCTGTCAAGGAAAATCCATCACAGATGACATCAAAATGACTTATTTTGCCTGAGCCACTTATTGTCTAAATGTGCATAATCTAATAGAAAGAGATTATTTTTTTAAAAAAAATCTGCTTTGTATTGTTCTAAATTAATATTAAAACATATACTTATGAATTAAACATTCGAAAACCATTTATTGAGAGTTTCATCATGACATCTCCCACTGTAAGTTTAAATTATTTTTGAGTGAACTGTCATAGATTAGTGATGCAACTGGCTGCATATTCGTGTTCTCCTCACACATATGGATCACACAGAGATCGCCGCAGAGCAAACGTGGCCAGAGAGCGGGTGTAATAGCACCGGGGCCTAGAGATCACTGAGTGTCACTCAGGAAGCCAAAGGGCACAGAGAAAACTGTCTTTGTGAAATCATTTTAACTGACATTTCTTCAGAGACACCCTCCTATTCTTTTTGCTTCTGAACAGGACTTCAAGTTCTCTCTCTGGTAGTGACCTCAAGGTTTTGGGGGAACATACAAGAAGTGCAAGCTGCCTGGTGTCCAGAGTGTATCAGAAGAGGGAGGACACGGCAGAAAGGAGACCAAGTTAAAAACTGTTTGTAAGCCTTTGGTCCGTAAAGATTTCAAGTACTTTTTGGCTCAAAGGTGGATCTCGTTTGTTTATTTACTCCCTAAATATTTTTCCTGAATAAAAAAAGGCAAAACAATAGATTCTCAGAAATACCGCTTTAATGCACCAGGACAAAACATCTGTCAGGCTCGGGGCCGGTTTCCTCGCCAGTGGCAGACATCAACTCTTTAAATAATGAACTGCATTAGGGTAAGAGGAAAAAGTTCATTGTCTGTCATTTTCCACGTAGTTTTCTGTGTGCAGTTGTTGGGGCTGATCTGGTTTTCAAAGGAGCCTGTTCATGCAAATTCACACCCTGCCCCAACTGACCTACGCATCCAGATAGCTACAATCCAATGTCACTTTGGATTCCACTCTTCTTCTGCTGTTGCTTTTTTTTTTTATGTAGCTGGAATTAATGTAGTGAATATGTAATGAAATGCATTATTCTGCACGGAGATTTATCAGATTTTCCGACCGAACGCTGGGCTTTGCAAGGACTAGCTGGAGTTCACCTGCATGTTGGTGTGGCGTGTGGCTCTTTTTTGTAAAGAGTTAAGTCGTATACAAAAAGAGGGAACAAAGGTCAGCGCCCAGCCACCACTTGAATGTGAGATTTTTCTTTTTATTCCCCTTGATGTATACTAGGCTCTGTGTTATTAGTCTTAATGATGGAAAATTGTAGTGTTGATACAAATCTTTTTTTCAAAGTAGTAGGCGGGAGCTCCATTTGTTAGTAAGTTTTTTTGCGACTAAAAGCCATGGACAGTACATTTATGTAGCAGTAAAAGGCCTGGATGCTCTTTCCATAGCAGAGCTAATTATTCCTACTGTGACCTTACTGATCTAGCCTGTTCCTAGTACATCTCATCTGCACGCCTGTTCCTCTGTGTAGATGGTGTCAGAGAATATGAAAAACCCTATAATGAAACCATTTTCATGATGGAGAAAGGCTACTGGAGTTGCACTTGCTACAAAGAGGCTCAATTATATGAGTAATTGTGATAATTTTCTACATTCATAGCCTTCAATGGGGAAAAAAGAATGAGAGCCACAAAGGAAAATTACTTTAACAAGAAAGTACAGAGAGTAAAAATGGAAGAAGAGACAAAAAGGGGAAAAAATAACCAGAAAAAAAAGTTTAAAAAATAGATCTGGAGGGAGGAATAGCGAGACAAGGAGAACAACAGAGTGCTCAAAAGCCCGCGTGCAGCTGTGTTGCACAATTAAATTGAATTTTTTTTCTGCAGTTGATGAATGTGACTACCGCAAATGTGCCTCTGTAGTTAGCTATCATTTGTTGTTCCCTGACAGGAAAAGGATAATTACCTCTCAGAGAGAATCAAAGGCTGACATGCCCTTTAGACACAGCCATGAATGCAGAGCTCCACAGAATGCCTGAATAAGAATCCAGTGTTCTCTGCCCCCTTCGACTGAAGAATAAATTTTGTTAAAATGCAAGAGCGCCACCAGTAAATTTGTTGAACCCTAGGTGTTCAAAAATATGAGGTGCATCTATCGACTCATCCCATTTGCAAAAATAAAACTGCATTTTGAATTCATTTCTATTATATTCATGGACAGTAGGATAGTGAGATATGCATTAAATTTCTTTTCCCAGTAGGGGTCTGATTCAACATTTCCTATGAAAGAACAGAGAGACACTATCCTTTTTTCCCAGGCTGGTTAGCCTATAATTTAAAACTGTCAAAAACACAATTTTGTTCAAAATCTTCAATAAAAGCTTCTCAGATATAACCCGAAGAGATTTTACTAAAGTTTGATTCAGACACTGTTACAATATTTTTAAAGCCATAAATACATTTAACTGATATTTTACTGCCTTTTTTCTTAAAGTATTTGAAGGCGTGCTCAGAGAAAAAGGCAGCATCTTTTCAAGGTGACTGAGCTTTCCATCCTTTGGGCAAACGGGGGTGTTCAGAGGCCCAGACTCATATTAATGAGAACAGCACTCTAAAGGGGACTGGCTGATCATCTTTAAGAAAATGTGTTACTTTTAAATGAAAACACATATTCTGCATGTCTACTCCAAAACATTTAGGAGAAAAAAAAAAGAGGGGCTCTGAAAGTGGGGAACAGATCACAAAGAAAAGCCTCGAGTTCAGAAAATATGCTTACACTCAAAAAGCAAGCCCAGGAAAAACTCTGGGGAAAGTAAACAATGTTTTATAGGGAAAACGGCCCAGATAAAAAGGGCCACAGAATGGCCTTTCAGGCTGCTGCAAGCTCACACTTCTGATCCTGGCAGCACTGGAATGCTTCCCTTCGTTTCTTTATGAAATGGACTTTCCTCCTTTCTCACCATCTAAGGGCTGGGACGATCAGCTCCTTTCTTAGGAGGCGTCTTCCACACTTGAATAAAGGGACAGCACAGACCAGCAGGTCAAGCTAAAACAAAAGCAGCCATGTAAATACTGCTCACTGCTCCACTAAGTTTCCTTGCTGATCCTGGTCAAATTCACTTTTTTAAACCATTAAAAAAAAAAAAAAACCCAGGGAACAATATTGCAGCCAGGCAGTTCACATACTGATATCAGACTGAAATGATGGCTGTGAATCATAAAACATGTCATCAACTTTCTACGAAGCCACCGATAACCTTTGTGCCGCTCGCCAACCCTCCTTTTACCTGTCAGCGCAGGGCTTACCTGATTGTGTTTCCAATTACAGAGAAGGGGGCCCCAGTTCTGCAAGCTGCAATTGCTTCATCTCTACACCTCCTGGCCACCTCTACTAACTTTTTACCACGTTCATCCACATTGCCCACCAGAAAGGTCTCAGAGGTGTCTCCATGGTAGCCATTGTAATAGACCTAAACACAGGCACAGATTTTTAAGGTACGTCCTTGTCTGGAATCCTATTCGCCTACAGTATATATACACTGTTTGTTTATGTATTTAGTAAATTCATTATCTTCTCAGAGTTAGTTTCAAGCTCACATATTAAAGAAATAACAGATGTACTAAAACCATTGTGAGATTTAAAAGCTAAAACCATGCGATGATCCTGCAAAACCTAAAAAAGAACAAATGGCCAGCTCAGTTACTTCAGCTTGGTGATTAGTGGTACTATTGTAGCATTGAGATCCCTCATTTTAGTTCTGAGAAAGCGAAGCTATGCTTGGAAAAATTAGTTATCAGATACATTGCCCTGCAATTACCACAGTAGGTTTGGAAAATGAAGTATTTAGCATAGTAAAACATGTCCTCAGTGTCATGAGGATCTGCGCGCTCTTTATTTACTAGCTCCCTAACCAGACACGATACATAACGACAGGAAGAATAAGACAGACACGTCAGCCGCTGTGACGGCCGGCAGTAGAATCTCACGCTAAGAACTGAAGTGGCTCAGTACAGCAATGAAATATGGTGGGAAAATTCGACGTCTAGAAATGAAATTTGAATCAAATGTTCCAGACAGCACAATGAGAACGGGAAACACTCCATGTGGATTTTTAAAGAATTAGAACATATCAAAGCAAGCTCAGGAGTAAAATCACAGAAAGATAATTCTATCTGTCTTCAATGACTCGGGAGCTCCATGTGATCTTGAACAATATCAGGTTCATCATGAAAAATCAATAGTTAGCAAACACCAGAATGCATGCAGAATGCGGGAGACTAGTTGACTATTGATCCTTGGATGTAACATGGCATTTGCTATTTTGCATGCATTTATCCTAATTATCTTCATAGTTCTCCTTTCCCTAAGGTAGAGTGCAGAGACTCTTCAGAGAAAGGCTGTTTATTTACAACTTCCGTCTAAATTAACGCCACACCCATACTCTGGTGCACACTGAAGAAGATCTTTTAGACAGCAAGAAGGAGATGAGGAGTCGTCACAGAGATCTCTGGCTTTCAAGTCAGGAAACTGAGGCACAAACGACTTGTTAAAGTTACTGGCAGAGTATACCCCAACCAATCTGATAGACTGATAGCTTCTAATTGCAGACCCTCCTAAGGCTCTCACAGTACTGTTTTCTAATTTCTTCCCACTTATATTCCTTTACAGAAGAATGTAAGCATTTTTCATATGTAAGAATATAGAATTTGCTAATATAATTGTAATTATTCAAGAAAATTTGTGACTGTGTTTTTAAGTAAAAGTGTACCTTTTAAATTCATTTAACTTGCTGTTTTTGTATTACTCTAAAATGAAAATATATTAAAATTATTTATTTTGTGTGTACATATGAATATGTGTGTACGTGTGTACACATGCCGTGGCGTGTGTGTGGAGACCAGAAGACAACTTGCAGGAGTCGGTTCTCCCCTTCCACCACGTGGGTCCCAGGGATTGAACTCCGGTTGTCGATTCTGGCAACAGTGCTTTTGCTTGCTGATCCATTTACTCTTCCCTATTACTTTTTAATAACTCTTAAAATAACTATTTAAGGGACTCACTGCACACGGAACACAATGCTTGTGTGTCTTCCTGGGGACTGAACCCAAGGCTTTGCACAGGTGTGGCAGGAAGATGCTGTCGAAAAGGGGCAGTCAACAACAGCTATAGTTTGTCCCCACAAACCATTCTAAGGCTTCATCTAGCAAGTATTAACCGAGCAACTACTATGAACGCCACACTGTCATAAAAAATTAACTTTCAAGAGAAAAAGCAACTCATTTTCTCTTGTACATAGTAGACATAAGATAAAATGGGTATTCCAGACAAAAGCATAGGAGCTGGAAATGCAGTTCTTCAGTTAATAAAATATCTCATAAGAAATACAATTTTTTGATACTGACGAATATGTCTCTTAGGCTCCTTTACATTTCTAGGCACTAGAAAGTGTTTCAAGTGAGCTTAAGGATTGTTGGAATAGTTTAAGCTTCAGAAATGAAATTCTTTATTAAAAACCTTTAGGAAGCCCAGAAAGGAATAATGCGTTCCCTCTGGGCATGTTGGGAACACCATGGGAGATGTCCTATATCACTCGAGCAGCAATATTTTATTAGTGGGTGATTAGGTGAGGTAATAAACGTGAGACCCTAAAATCAGGTCCAATCCAAGATAAAATGGCTCACAAGAGAGACTTGACGTCAGGTGCACTTCACCAAGCCACCTCCCGCACAATTCTGAGTGGGAGAGACCCTACCAGGAGGTGTGGAATGACACTCAAGCGTCCTAAGACACAATGACACGGGAAGTAACATGAGCCAGAATTGTCTGGCTATTCCTGTGCAGAGACGGAAGAAACAAGGCTGGATTAACTTAAACAGCTAAAAATCTAACACAATCTACTGGTGCCCATTTCCATCGCATTCCCACTGCTACCCGGCTTTCCGTCTGGAGGTGAAATAACTATTATTACAAGTATTTAGTGTCTAATAGAGAATGTGGTTTTTGAATGGCACCCATCCCTAAGAGTCCCTGCTAGGTGCTCACATTTTATCTATCTAAAAGTTATTAATTAGAGATGTGCAGATTTTATTTGTCCTCTTTACCATTCAAAAGGCACCAGGACAAACAATCTGAAATGAAATGAGCACAAACCATCCAAGTCTGAGGACGGCGAGAGGCTAAGGAAATGAGAAACGGTTACCCCTGGACAATTTTCAGCCCCAAGTTAAATTACTTAGGCTTCTTATTTAAAAAGAAAGGCCATCAACCATCTGGTGAAAACGTAAATTCAGACAGAAAGACCACTCTGCTTGTGTGCTCCGAGCTCAGGCCCCTCTACGCCAGAGATGGAACACAACGTTACCTTCGGGGATTTTAATAAATCTAGGGAACACTGCTAGCAAAAGAGTTGCTGTCCAAATAGACGGACACGCAGGCCAATGTAGCCCCTAATGACAGAGTAAGATAATGACAGGCCCCACTCAAAATCAGCAGGAAGAGGAAGATCAATCTTGGCAGAGTGAAGGAAAAATGCTGGCTTTCTTCGCGTTAGCTCATCTCATACATATCTAGCTTGAGCAGCTGCCCAGTGCGGCGGTGTTCTGCATTAACCACACAGTGGATCAATAACAATTACACCTTCTCAAAAACATGACACATAGCAGGATTGGGCTGACATTTCACTTAGGCCAACATTGATCTCAGTGCATCTGATTCCAGCCCGAAATTCAAGGCAGGCCTGGCTTGACTTGGAATAAACACGGAGTTAAAGACAAAAAGGGAAGCCAGCTGCTTGTGTCCGGGGGCTGGAAGTAAACAGCACTCCCCGAGCGGGCGCGGTTCACATTTTCAAGTCGCTCTCCTTCCTGTTGCTACCAGCAATTCTGAAGTTGATCAAAGATGATTTTTTTATATGATTTACTCACCGTGACATCAATGTTGATAATATCCCCATCCTGAAGAGGTCGGCTGAAACATAAACAGAGAACAAATGGTGATAGACAGATCTCAATAAAGAGAAATGTGAAATGAGTGCCCACCGACCACTACTGCAGACCCAGGGTGCTGCGGTGATAAACTGCATGGAGCAGGGGCGGCTGGAGTAGCCAGATCTGACCTTTGTCTGTCGTTAATCACACCACACTTTATGAGAAATACAGGAAGCAAGCATTGCTGCCTTAAGATTTCACGATTCTTTAAAGAGATAGACTTCCTAATTACCTTAAGTTTGCAAACAGCCAAAACAATAGCTGTCAATAGAATCTGCCTCCATTACCACGTGGTAAAAATTGGGTAAGTTGAAAGAAATAGGCAATGCACGAATATTTCTGCGGCTCGCTTGCTGCTTTAAGAAACATCAAATGGTGGTGTTAAGACCATGTGGAAGTAAAACACCTCGACGTTTTTATTTCATCGTAATCAGTTTCAGAAGCATGTATGCAGGTAGGTTTCAACTGAAGCACAGGATTTTTCAGTGTGGGCTACGGATCTTAGTTTCCAAAGGAACAATACATTATTGAAAAATGAATACCTGTCAGGAATGCCATGGCAGAGCACATTGTTTACAGAGGTGCAAACAGATTTTGGAAAGCGGCCATAGCCCAGAGGTGAGGGATAGGCATCGTGACTGATGGTTTCGCGATGAACTAGAGCATCAATCTCTTCTGTTGTCATGTCAACCTGAAATATTAAATAAAGTGTGCAGCGACAGTTGGAGACATTTCCTGTGTTTATTGACTGTGCCTGCAACAACAGCACTGCCAAGGTGAGACTGTATAAATTCGCCACGATGAATTCGGAGTGTAGCCTTAATTGGTCGTGACTCCCGCCACCCCCCTCAGCTGTGCTCTCTTGATCATTTGGGTACATGATGGCGTCATAAACCATCAGGAAATACAGTGAGTCATTAAGTGATGATTCCTGTTAGCTTGATGATTTCACCAGTTCCTTCTTCCTCGAGGGTCAGAGCTCTGGCTAAGGGAAGCATAGAAATAAGTGTGCGAACAGAATGCTGCCTTAGAGGAGCTTCACCTATACCTTTTCATCTTGTTGAAACGCCGCATGGGCGAGCTTTGCAGCAACGGCAGGGAGGTGATGCACCGTTATTTTAAAAACCCAGTCTCTAATGCCTTTCACAGAGATTTTATTCTCTATAAGCTTGATTTCTTTCATGCCCAGATAAGTATGTTTTAATGCTTCCCATACTAGAGAATATCCAATTATTTTCCAATGAAGAGAACTGAAATTGAAGGGTCTTGCTTTGTTCTGTTTTGCGCTGCCGGGGATTGAACCCGGGGCCTCAATTACACCAGGCAAGTGTTCTGCGCTTTAGCTGTACCCCAACTCCAGAAACTGAGTTTCGCAAGCACACGAAGACTATCTCCATGAGATACACTACAAATAAAATTCTACAACCAAGTAAAATTACTCAGGAGCTGCTAACTAATTCCTCAACAATTTCCTGTCTTGGTTGATATCCACCTATCCCTGGTTATGTCGCTATAATAGTCAACTACACAGGTGACATAGTAAGCAAATCCACCACCGAGTCCCACTTTGAAACTACGTTTATACTTCTTTATGAACTATGGGCAGCAAGATGTTTGGGGTGATTCTAAAAGGACTGACTCTTGTAGCAGTATCTATCTCTATGTATGTATGTATGTATGCATGCATGCATGCATGTATGTATGTATATAACCAAGCTACTGTGGTTTTCATATTGGGCCTACCCTTTCTTTGTAAAGAACATTCAAGAAAAGAAGAGGCAGACTACAAGGTAGGGCCAACACTTTCAACACATGGAGGTGATGTGGGAAATATAAGCAGAGCACAGGCAGAGGAAAGGTGGCAAAGCCGAGGTCCTCTGCCACAGAGCACCTCGGAGGGGCCGAGTCAACGGAGCGTCTCTAGAACTCTGCCAGTTACAACTGAGTTTAGAAGTTTACATTATTTCTTGAGCAAACACATAAAATAGTAAAATCCCCCTTTCCCATCTTAAGGCTTTACTTTAAAAAACCAAATTACTAATAGATGAGAGTAAAGAGGGAGTTAAGGAGAAAGAGAGAGGAAGTACGGAAGTTACTCTGGCTTGGTACCACCTTCAAGCTCTTCCCAGCCAGGAGGAGGATGTGTCGGGCCAGCTGACAAGCCTCACGGAGCCCTCGGATCTGATCTTCAGTCTTAACTTCTATGCTGTCTCCCCAGTCGGGCACAAGGCCTGTCGTCACATAGTCTGGCTTCTTTATGTGCTTCGGGAAAAAAGATTGAACACGAAGATCAGAACCCAGCACACGACAATGGCATCATTTTTTTCAGACACAGCCTCCTGCTTCATGGAGTTCTGCCCTTCCTGCCGATGCACCGACCTCCATAGCCAGCACAACAGACCTCCAGGCTACCCCCAGTTCCTTCCCCTGCCCTTTTGAACTTAACATCGCTTGGTAATGCTTCTCTGGATGGGCTGTTAACCTTACAGGCTTTGAGTCGGGTTCTGCTGAAGTAGACTTCTGGTCAAAACAAACAGCAGTTTTCTGTTCTCTGCTCCACCCGAGCCCATTAGACGCAAGGTCTCTGGATGAAAAAATGCCAGGTTTCCAGTCTGCACAATGCTTAATAAACACTCTCATCTTCTTCAGGCAATGCTAAAATGTAGGCAAAGGACAGCTCAACGCCCTCCCCAACGAGTCCATGTAAAAGGGTATTAAGTTCATGGGACCTGCCACATACAGTCTCACACTGGGTAACATGACAACCAAGCATTAGACAAAACAGCTGATTTCCTTCATGTCTTCTCCAAGGACAATACAATTACCTAGAACATTTCCACCATTTATCAAGAAGAACGAAGAGCCTGCACCTAACCCAAAGTCAAACACCCAAGCCTGATGCCTCCTGCGGCTGCTTCTCCAGCTTTGAATCCCACTGGTGGCTTTGGGAGGTACCAGTATCTTAGACACAGCTTCTGTCTGCCCCAGGGTCTGCAGGGCCCTTCCTGAGCTATTTATAGCAATAGTATGTAAGACCACTGACCACCACACAGTAAGGCCACACAGAAGTTTGGACAGGGAGTCATACTCAAAGTTCTGCAGGGCCAAGAGGTTGGGGCTCTTGTGTTTGTGAAGAGCGCCAGGTCAGACCTTAGGATCTTTTCTTATTCCACTGTTCAGAAGGGCTTTTTCTTTCCCTTATCTGTTTGCACTTGAGACAGGGTTTCTCACTGAACCTGGAGCTCATAGGTAGCCAAAAGCTCCAGGGATCCACCGTGTCCACATCCCCACTCGTCAACACTAGAATTACAGCACACACCAGCAGCAGCTGGGGTTCATGTGAGCGCAGAGGATCTGAGCTCAAGTTCTTACACTTGTATAGCAAACACGTAGGCACTGAGCCATTTCTCCAGCTGGAAGGGGTTTTGTTATTCAGGTAGTAGAATGGCCTGGTTTGTCAAACTGAGCCCTGAAGAAGCATCTCCTCTCCTATAGTCACCCCCACCAACTCCCTCAGATTACCAGGTCTCTCCCCAACAAGCCTATGTTCTTATTTCTGCTCTGTGAGCTGTCTTGGTTATAGCTATAGGCTGGGGGCTGCTGGGTTGTCTCTGAAACTGGCTAAAAGGCATAATACAACACATTTCTTTTAACTAGAGGTGTGTGTGTGTGTGTGTGCGCGCGTGTGCATGTATGGATATAACTATGCATTCATATGGATACAAATATGCATAGTTAAAAAAAAAAAGAAAAGAGCCGGGCAATGGTGGCGCATGCCTTTAATCCCAGCACTCGGGAGGCAGAGGCAGGCGGATCTCTGTGAGTTCGAGACCAGCCTGGTCTACAGAGCTAGTTCCAGGACAGGCTCCAAAAGCCACAGAGAAACCCTTTCTCGAAAAACAAAAAAAAAAAAAAAAACAAAAAAAACAAATATGCATAGTTGCAGAGGTGTGGAGACCACAGGATGATATCTGATGTCTTCCTTAATTGCTCTCTACCTGATTTTTTGAGACAGAGTCTCTCACTAAATCTGGAGCTTGCTGACTTGACCAGACTGACTGGCCAGTGAACCCTAGGGTTCTACCTGTCTCTGCCTCCCCTCCCCAGATCTGGAATTATAGGCATATGCTGCAGTCCTGGTTTTATGTGGGTGCTGGGGATGAGTGCAGGCCCTCATGTTTACAGAACAAACGCTCTAATGAATGAGCCATCTCCCTGGCCCTAGAGATTTTTTTTTTTGTTTTTACTGAAGAAAAATAATGTCAATTTTATGATTCGTACCAAATGTTGGCACTCTCTACAATGGTCAAATCTAAACCAAGCTAGGACTTTTAGTTCCTCTGTCTCTCAACCCTTGCTATAAAAATGGACTGCTCGCCTCCGGGAGCTATGCTCAGTGTGATTCACAATAAAGAGAAAGAGTGTACGAGGGAGAGAGCAGGTGACGTTCGGGACAAGTCTGTATCTCTTGTAGCTATTTTCCTTCTTCCTAAATGACGCCTTACACCGTCTTTGCATTTTCAAAGACAGAGAGATTGTCTTTCCACAATACTGAAACCTTCAGTGGGGAGAATCAGGAATGCTTTGGCTTTTATTTAATTTACTCTAAAAAAAAATTCGTAACACAGAAAGTTGAAGGGATTAAAAACATCCAGTGTGCTAATTTCCATGAATTTCTCTTGAATCATTCCAATTTTACAGTCATTTTCCCTAAAAAAGTCACAAACTATACACAGTTTTAGTTACATATTGAAATTTAACAATAAAAATTTTCTTAATTAAAAGCTGAAATTCCAGATAAGCTAAGCAGTTGTTTGCCTAGACCTTTATTTCTGTTTTAATAGACAGCCTCGAACTGCAGGATGTTAAAATAAAATGTCTTCCGTCACAATTTGAAATCACAAGCCAAGTTTTCAGTTCACCTCTGCCCGCCAGAAAGAGTAGCAGCCTGCATCAGTACAGTACCTTGGGAACAGGATGTGCGGGAGAAACTGCAGCCGGCGAGACTATATTGTGGGAGAGATCCCTTTGTCTCCAGAAAAAGAAATTTCTTCTTTGTTGACTGCCTGTCCGCTTGTATAAGCAGAGATGATTGAGTGGAGAAGACAAAATTCTCTGACAACCTATGAGCAAAAATAGATGTAGTTCAGGTTAAGAAGACAGACAGAAAGAAAAGACATTAACGGTGTTGCCCCTGAAGGTGCTATACCTATTAAATCATTAGTCTCATTCTTTATTGACTCAAAAGAGAAAGCCCCAGAGAGAAAGGGGCCAGCAGTATTCTGGTACAACAGTAGCATACCATATTGACTAACTGGCACTGTTTACATAAATTTCTGACGGTGGAGAGCTTTACTCTAATAGGAAATAAACATACGGAAAGATCTGCCCTGCAGCAGGTATGGAAAAGAGCAAATTCTGCTTCGGTACCTTGTGTGACGATGTCCAGATAACCCTAGAATTCAGGGCACTACTTTGGGGGCTCTACCCTCTTTAAAACCATTTTCCCTTCAAAAGCCACAGACAAATTGCCAGCTGCACTTTTGGCCTGCATAGGATAGCGACTGTGTGTTAAGTTCTTGTGCATGCAGGCATTATACCAAAATTCACTGCGATGAAGGCACAAGTTGGACCAAAGAGCAAAAATGTCGGTGAAACCAAAGAAAAGAAGCGTAGGCATTTAGAGGCATTTATTAAAATACTAAAAGCACATCTTTTGAGTCAGCAATTTATCTCCTTAGACTTTTATTTTGTTTTTGTTTTTTTGAGACAGGGTTTCTCTGTGTAACAGTCCTGTGTGTCCTGGAACTTGCTTTGTAGACCAGGCTGGCGTCAAACTCACTGAGATCCTCCTGCCTCTGCCTCCCAAGTGCTGGGATTAAAGGCGTGCACTCCCATCGTCTGGCTCTCTTTTCAGACTGTAGCCCACAGATAATTTGTAACTGTGGATGTATGAAGCCACACCTTTACCTAGGGATTGTTTGGGTAGAAAACTGTGAAGCAGCCTGATTTCAAATGGGAAGTATCAACAGAGGATGGGCTACACATATAATACTGTCCATCGATACAACAGAAAATTCTGAAATCATTAAGAAGAACGAAGCTAACTATGGCAGTGTGCATTCACGACTTGGGACACAGAGATGGGAGGCTCAGTTCACAGTCATCCTCTGATGCACAGTGAGTCTGACACCATCCTGAGCCACACAGGACTCCTTCCCAGGAGAGTGAAAGGCGCTAAGTGGTCTCTGTGCACTGATGGGCAGAGACCTCAAGGGAGTGGGGGTGGGCACGGTCAAAATACTTTGTGTACATGTAAGAAATTCATAAGGAATAAATTAAAAAATCATGTCCAAAAAAGAAACCCATTAGGGTAAAGGAAGCTTACACATTTAAGGCTTGTGTACATCTATACATTGCCAAGATTAATATTCATCAACAGGGGGAATTTCTAGAGTGTGTAATTAGGGCAAGAGGAGGGAAGACTTTGGTTCATTTTATTTTCTTCTATACTGTTAGCTTTTAAAAACCATCTACGTCTCAAAAAAAAATCGACTTCCATTACTATTACAATAAAAGCAATCGTTTAGAACCACCCCCCACAGGTCACAGCTATAAGACAGGCTGGCAGACTCCAGCCTAAGGGCCAGATCTGGCCTGCTGCCTGTCTTTACAGCTTAACACCAAGAAATGGGTTTTCACATTTATAAGTGGTTGGGAAAAAAAAATCAGAAGCAACAGTATCTTGTAAGGCGAAATTCAGATTTTGGTGCCCGTACCTACCCTGAGTTATTTACAACTGGTCAGGACTGTGTCTCAGCTAAGGCAGGGTTGATTAGCTGTGACAGAGCCTAAACCATTTACCTCTCAGCCCTGCCCAGCCACTGCTGAGGTCACCGCTGTTCTCACTCTGAGTTGCCCAGGCCAGGAGAATCAGCCACGAGGAAAAGGAGAGATTCTCGGTGGACCCTCCTCCATGGGATGAGGGGAGCGGGCTTTCAAGCACTCTGTGCTTGGGAACTGCTGGTCCTAGAGTCACATCTCAGCTGTGAGAACTGGTGGAGGATTGATCCCCAAGGTCAGCGTTGCTGACGGATTGAAAAAAGGCATGAGATTCAACGTTCAACATTTCATTCCGTTATGTTTTGCTCTCAGCTTGAACTCGGCACTGTAAAATCAGACACACAGAGGGGTTTGGGGTAATACTTGTACTAGTGTATCACATAGATAATGCTGAAGAGCACATATTAATGTATGTTCCTTATGTTTTTACTTTTCTGCACTGCTGGGGACCTAACCCAGGGCCCTGGACACAGACAGGTTCACACCCTCACAGAGCTAAAATCCCCAGCCACACTGGGCCCTCGTATTATTGTAGACAATTCCAAATCCCAGACAAGAGGCCAGAAAACCATTTATTTTCTTTTTTTAATGGTTTGCTGTTTTTATATTTTTGAAATGGGGCCTGGTCTGTTGACCAGAATGGTCCTGAACTCCGGGGCTCAATGTATTTTCCTATCTCAGCCTTCTGAGAGGTTGAGGATTCACAAGCCACCACACTCAGATCTAAAAGGACTTGAAACAGACAAGCATATTTTTCCTACTTTTTAAGATATTAGTTTTTTCTAATGAGTAGATGGGATGATAGCCTAGTAGGTAAACATGAAAATCTGAGTTTGACCCCCCAAAAGCAACATAAAGTCATGTATAAGCCGGGCAGTGTTGGCTCACACCTTTAATTCTAGCACTTGGGAGGCAGAGGCAAGTGAAGGGTTTTTATATGAAAAGACACATGAACACAACAACAACTTTTTAAAATTTAACTATTTTAATTGATTCTTTGGGAGTTTCACATCATGTACGCCAATTCCACTCACCTCCCAGTCCCCCATATCTTCCCCTTATCCCTGTAGCACCCCCCAAAAGGAAATAAAACACAGTAAGCAAGCAAGCAAACAAAACCAAGAACAAAACTAACAAAAAAACCCAAAACAAAACAAAAACTACAAAACCCCTCTTCCCTTCTCCTTCTTTCCTGCCTCTCCAACACCTGTTCATTCGTCCTGGTGGCATTGGGGGCCTCGGTGTGTCACACAGTAGACCCTTCTGTCCTATCAGCTTTACTGATGAATGATCATTGCCATGAGTCACTGGTCTGGCTCAAGGCCTCTGTTTCTGGTACACACCATCAAACTGGATCCTCACCAGAACTGCTCTGGGATGTCTCGTGGTTGCCCCAAGTCTTGGAGATCCTGTTGGTACTGTTCCACAGGACCAGTCCCTTCATGAGCTCCAACAGGTCCTAGATGGGTAGTTGCTAGGGTGACCAACCCAAGGCCTGGCCAGCTGTGGGCCTGAGTGGTGGCTGAGCTCGTCAGTCCAGACCACTGGGGTCACCCACCTCAGGAGAGGGGGGTGGAGCCAACTCACCTAGTCAATGCCCTCAGAGTCAGTTCACCATGACCTGTGGTGAGGGGTAGGGCTGTCTCTCTGGAGTGGAGGGGCCAGGTCTCTTGCTGTAGTGTTCAGTGAGAGGCAAAACCAGCTTTCCCAGGGCCAGCAAAGGGACCATGGCAACTCTTATAAAGGAAATCATTGCCGGGAAGTGGTAGCATATACCTTTAATCCCAGTACTTGGGAGGCAGAGGCAGGTGGATCTTTGTGAGTTTGAGGTCAGCCTGGTCTACATATCAAGTTTCAGGACTACATTCATAGAGAGACCCTGTCTCAAAAACAACAAACAAACAAGCAAACAGAAGGTAGTGATTCAGATTTAACAACTCCTTTTTGATGACCCTCATTGCTAGATGGTCATTTTATCCCTATTGGCCCTTACTGACTGTTAGGTAGGCAGCAGTTGTTCATGCCACTCTTTAAAGATGAAACACACACTCTCAGAATCAACAACCAGGCCCCCGTCAGCTCCCCATTTCCAAGCCTAGGGCTGGGACCACCACACTGCCATCTAACAGTATGCTGGGGCTCTGGAAGTCCAAACATGCCCGGCCGAAAACTGCAACGTTTTCATGATTTGGATTTTGAAGGAAGTTTTGCTTGTTTGTTTAATCTTGAAAAATATATGTCCTGTGCTCAGTTAACATTTCGAATGAAGACATCTTTTTCATGGAAATTCTTAGAGGAACTGGGAGGCATATGCTAATGAAGTCAGATAGACCTGCATTACCAAAACTTCTGCGCCCCACATTCTGAGCATTAAGGGGAGTAAGGGTGCTCTTCCTCCCATGTGGAAACCATCTCCAAAGAACAGCTGCTCCGCACACGACCGCCCTCCCTCCACTTCCATCTTTAACGTTTATCTGTGGGACACCCAGCTTTATCCTTTTTACTCAACACTGCGTTTGCCGCTTCCACTCTCCTGTTTCCACACCCTAGATCCGGGAAATACAGTGGTCCCAGCTTTCAAGGGCAGTACATTCCTGCAGGGGAGGCAAACGTTAAGTCAACAAAATGGAAGGAGGGATGAAAGCCAGGCTGGAGAGACGGCAGTGGTGTGACAGTTGTCTAGCAAGTGCGGTGACAGTGAACTCTGACCCACAGAGCGTTTCCTGTGCCAACACCTTGTTGAGTGGCTTCCAGGTGTTTCTGAGATAGGAGGCTTAGCACTGGCCTGCGTTCAGCAACACGTAACTGCCCTGCTACAGCCAGACAGTGGGTGATACAGACTCCGATCAATTTTATCACACAGGATTATTTTCAGTGTGGCTGATTACATGAAAGAGAGGCCATCTTTATCAGTAATATCAAGTTCAAGTACATAGGCATTACAGGGGAATCCTTTTTATGTACTTAAACTTGAATTATGAAACCGTCAGGTCTCCACTGGGACGCCTGGGTAAGGTTTGTGAGGTATTCACTTTCTGGGCGAACAGTGTGCCTAATGTATTTATCTGTCTTGCCAAATGGCAGTCTCACTGCCAGAAAGATACAAGCATGCCCCCTACCCCAGCAACTGTAGGGGCAAACACCAAACACTGGAAGCTCGGCCAGACACAGTTAATCTGTTGACAGCAACGGCTCTAATCAAATCCACTTAACCTTTACATTTGAAGTATTTTCCTTCAGTTTAATAAAAGTTACCCTATACATACTATCATAAAGTAAC